ACGAGCGGCACCTCTGGTCCCAGCTGTTGCAGCTCCAGCCTGGTCTCCTCCCTCACCCTGCAGCCTCTCCCACTGCAGGGCTCCTTCTGCCTTTATACCCGGCCGCTGCTGGGAGCATGCCCAGCAGGGTTGGAGGGGCGGGGCTTTCTTTGCCAGCTGGGCCTGGGCTATCCTCTGCTCATCAGTGCGGGGCCTGTCCGCCCCGTCACAAGCTCCAATAGCATCAAAACACCAGTTTGCTGTTGTCTAGTAAACTTCCATTCTTCTCAAAAGCACTTGTCAAGAATACAGCATTGTAACTCATCACCACTTAAATACACAAGTGCAAAAAATCCAGTGGATCAGGTCTCTGTATTGCATTCTCTCCATGGGAGGTTTCAGAGGATCTAACCAGCTGCTTCCTCCATCTTTTTCAGCTCATGGTGGGAGGACAGTTAACAAAATGTGGGGCAGAGGTTGCCCCCAAAAGCCAACCAAATACATTGTTTAAGGGAACTGAGGTTTTTCTTTTGTTCTTAGGGTCCTACTGGTGAGACTGGCCCAATTGGTGAAAGAGGTCACCCTGGTCCTCCAGGCCCGCCAGGTGAACAAGGCCTCCCAGGCTCTGCAGGAAAAGAAGGAGCTAAGGTATAACATGGCTTTTGGAAGGAAGGTGTCACATGGAGATAGATGGAATAAATGCTTACAAGCAGATACTGTTCATACCTATAGAAATTATAGCATAAAATAGGGACAGACACATTTTTTCCCAAGTGAGAGTCTCTTTAGCAGCTTGCCAAGGGCATACGGGCCTCACTTGCAACCTGGTAATTTTGCTATTCATTTCAGGATGAGCTATTAATTTATTTAAGACCAGGAGTTTTCATAGATCCTCCTTTTTTAATGTGGAAGTTTGTACATACACAACTTGTCTGCTCAGGTCAAGTTGGAGCTCTGCACTGGAATACAGGGATGTACCTCTGAGTGTGGCACTGGCCACATAGTAGAATTTCAGTTATAGTATAGAATTTTATTCAATTATTCATTGTAGATAAGAGAGCTATAACTTCCTCCATGAATGTCTCTTTAAAGAAACTAGGATAATTGTAATAACTTTTCAGATACCATAACTAACGTATATTATTATTTAAAATTGTCTGTAATCCTATGCTGTCACATTTTATAGTGATGAAGGACATAAAATACTTGAATAGCTGCACAGATGGACAGATAAATAGGTTTTTTTTGGTCACTGATTGTAACTAGAGCCTGCTGCTTCATTATATGTATGATAATTAGTCAAGCTAAGAATTTGTCACCGTTATTTTTAGTAAAATTCATGGACAGATCACGGCAATGAAGAAAATTCATGGAAGTTTTGACCTGCTCTTGATTTTACTAAAAATATCTGTGGCAAAGTGAGGATCTTCAGGTCCTCACAGTGGTTGCAATGGGGCAGCTGTGCAACAGCTAGGAACTCTAGGGGCCCTCACCATAGGTTAAGAGTTCACACTCCAGGGTCCCTCATCACTTGCAGCAGTTGTGGGCAACTGGGTACTACTGCCACCCACAGCTCTAGTGCCCATGGCAGCTGGTTGCTCAGTGGTTGTCTGCTGCCCATGGGGTTTGGGACCTATGGGGTATCCCCACCTCTTGCAGCAGCTTGGAGCGCTGGTGAGCACCAGAGGCTCAGGGGCATCATGCAGTTCACAATGGCGGACTCTGCAGCTCTTAACTGCCACAGGCTGAAGTCACAAAGGTTGTTGGAACTCCCAAGTTCCACGACTTCTGTTTCTTCCATGATTAAATTGTGACCTTGCTGATTAGTAACTAACATGCAGTTTTTGAAACCTCTGCATTTTCACAGGGTGACCCAGGCCCTCAAGGTATATCTGGAAAAGATGGACCAGCGGGTCTCCGTGGTTTCCCAGGAGAAAGAGGCCTTCCAGGAGCTCAGGTATAAACAGCAGCATTGATGACTGTGGATAGAGTGCTTATAGAGTATCCTGGGGAACAATGAGTTAAACCGTCTGTTACAGGAAGCACATCCCACTGTGCTCTGAAAATGAATGCAATAGGAAATGCACCATCTGTGAGGGTTAAATTCCAATAGTTATCCATTCACCGTTGGTAATTTATTCTAGAATATCTTCTTGCTTTTAAAATCCTTCATCTTAAATATGTTGCAAAATAAAATGGAACAACATGCTTCTCTCGTTTTTTAGGGTCCAGCTGGTCTGAAAGGAGGAGAAGGCCCGCAAGGCCCACCTGGCCCGGTTGTAAGTAACTATACTAGCATTACAGAAATACAAACAACCTCCTTTCTGAGTCTTCACATGCTGTTTTGTTTTCATCAACACAGATTGTAAAACAGTCAGGGAGCTCTGTCATTCACATCAATCAATAGTTATTTTCTACTAATTGCATGTACTAATGCGCCTATCTACATAAAGAATGTATAGGTATTGAAATATCTGAAACCTGCTGCTATCAGTAGATGCAAAATTGACTGGCTTCTGAGCATTTCCCAGCTAGACTAGTTATTAACAAGCATGAAATAATCCTTATCAAGGAAAAACCACAAACTGTGGATGTAATGGCCAATCAGGCTGATGTTACCTTTCCTTTCTATAACTTCTGTACACCACAGGTTTGACCCTTATAACTTGAGTGGATTTTGCTGTGCTATTCAGAATCTTAAATTTGCTGTTAAAAGATTTTAAGCCATTGGTATGAATCATATCCACTAATGTCTTGCTGATTTTTCAGTCTGACCACTTAAACAATAATACCAATATTGAGTAAACTTCCCTTCATGCTAACAAGTCAAGTAGATTATGTTTTTAGTTTTTAATAAGGCTGCAAGAAAATTGCGGTCAGCAAAGAGTAGTAAATAACTCCTCCTTTTACCCTTTGTTTTCTGACATTTCCACACTGTGGGGATATATCATATACTCTGTATACATTTCTCTAATTAACTATTGTACAAATTATGGTTGTTGTCAGAAATGAGCACCTGAAGACTATTTTGGAAGACTTAGTTGATATTTTTTTACTAAGTCTGCAGAACTCAGCAGACAGTTAACTTTGTATCACAGGCTTTAAGGAACCAGTCACATTTTCAATTCTGTTGCAGAAACTATTAAAAATAAACACCATGGATGATACATTGCCAGAGATACTGAGGCATTAATAATGTTATATCTAAGAAACTGAGCTTTCATTGAAAAACCTTACTTTCATTCAGTAAAAGTTTACATTTGTTATTTTTCCATTAGACTTATTACCAACCTTGGCATAAAGTAGATTTTCTTGTCTTTATTTATCACTGTAAAACTAACATTTTACATTTTACTCCTTCATCAAAAAGAGGGTTTTCTTCACTGTAAGTAAGTAGGCCTGTAGAATTTTACACAACCAGTTTAAGGTCAAGAGCTTTTTCTATCACCAGGTGTTTGTTTTTGTTTAGTCTTTACTTTCTACTAATGAGCTCTTCATTACATCTTGAACTGTAGTTCCTGGGAAATGTCAAATATAAGGTATTAAAAATAGAATACAGACTTTTTAATAACCTATTTTTGCTCTAATTTTAATGCAAGAGCACTCTATGAATGCTAAAGCTATTACATTTATGCTCAAATGCACAGCATGCAGTTCTTGACAACCATCTGCTTAATGCACTTCTCTCTTTTGGTGAGCCCAGGTGGAAAAGTAAATTGACATAAAACATTTCTGCAAAGGAAGAAGTAGTGGAGGAAGTGAAAGTATATATGTTTGGATAATAAAGTTTATGAATATTTCTACAATCTATATTTGCTTTAATGCTTATAAAGAGAGCATATAAAGAATTCTTATCTGAAAAACTCTTGATTTGGAGATATCCCTAAGTTTGGGAAAGAGCTGCAGTTTAACATTTTTGCATACTAATTCTTTCATCTAGAATGTCATCAAGAAGAAGAATGATAGCACTTTAATTTTCAACTTGCATTTGATATGTTCAGTTCCTTCCTTTCTTCCCACCATGCTTTATATACATTTTTCCTAGGAACTGAAACAAAAAGGCCCCCAAAGTAGGAACCTTACTATTCACCTGGTACAAAAACAGCACTTTTTCACAATAAGTATTACTTAAATTTCTGGTTATATTCACATCATATAATTTCACTACAGATATTTCACCCTTTTGTAATATACACTCTGTCCTATTAGGTAGACTATTGTTTTGACTACCAATTTTTCAACCATAGGCTAAGCAATTGGAAATGGATTCTAGATACTTTATGATGTAATAGATGTTCTAGGCTGATCATAGAAATGGTGAATATGGAAAAAGGGGGAAGCCTTTGCCAAAGTTTCATGAAGGCTATGTCTAAACTACATCCCTTTCTTAAAAAAGGGATGTAAATTAAACACTTCGAAATTGCAAATGAAGCCAGGATTTAAATTTCTCGTGCTTCATTTGCATAATGGAAAAACATCCATTTAGACAGGGATCGATCAAAAATAAAACCCTTTTTCAAAAGATCCTGCAATCCTCAAAAAATTAGGTTTACAGGATCTTTCGAAAAAACCTGCCGTTTTTGAAAGAACCATGTCTAGACTTTTCAAAATGGTTTTACTTTCAAAATGGTGCTTTTTTGAAAAAGTGCCATGAAGCAATTATGCAAATGAAACACTGGATATTTAAATCCCCGCTTCATTTGCACTTTTGAAGTGCCTCATTTATATCCCTCTGCTGACAGAGGAATGTAGTCTAGACATAGCGAGAGACTACTTGAAGCAGAAAGAAAATCAAACACACCCACAGATATTCCCAATCTCAGGAAAAAGTCCTAAATTTTATTAGATAGATTTTGTATCTCTGTAATTATGAACTTTGGAATTGCCTGATAGTTAGAAGATTAAAAGATACACCTGATACCATGGTGCCATGAGTATTTATCTTAGGGCCAAAAGGAGACCTAGAGCTTTAACTCACTGCTGTCTGTGGGAGTTGCAGGGCAGATCATTGACATATGGCCCTAAAATAATTTCCTAACTTTTTTAGGGACTATGGGGTTAAATATACAGTCAGTCATTTTTGGGAGAGGTTTAGTAAAAACAGAATATTTGTTCACCATACAAAATAGGAAGAGTATTAATCCCTGCGGACGACTTTGCCATATAAGCCAGTACTGACTGCTCCTGAATAGATAGAAAATGCAAAACCATAAGCTGTTTGGCAGTATGTACAGCTGCAAGAACATGACAGAGAATGACCATTTCAGAACACATCACATGCTAATTGTAGTGCTGACAGTGAAATGGACAAAAGAGAGAGATTCATGAACACTATATAGCAAGATGTTTTCTTTTTTTTTTCTTTCTCTCTTTTTTTCCCACTGTTCTATCTGCTGTCTATCTTCTAACCAGTGATGTTCCCCTGCCTCTTTCATGATGCTGAAAGGCAGCTGAACGCTAGTGAGAGAAAGCTCTCTGGAAACTCAGACAATCATTGCTCATTAGCTCATTTGGGTGTTGAATGTCAGGGTCATACACTGAGCCAGTCAGATATAGCCAGTTACCTAAGTTGCTAGAATCAGTGCTATATGACTCTCTTTGATAGTAATTTCAGTCACAAGGTTGCTCATTCTAGAGAAATGTGCTAATTAGGAGAAATATTGTTACTATGACAAAATGTGTGTATATGCTTTATATTACCTGGCACTTCACAAAAAGAAACAGATAAAGACATACATTAATGAGCCTGCAATGTGTATGCTAAATATGAGACAAAACCTCAGACACCCATTCAGTTGAGGAAAAGAATGAATAACAAAAAAATGAAGGAGGGATGTCAAGGAGATGAATTTCAAAGGGGGTTAAGATGAAGAAAATTGTTCTTGGTCAGATAAGGAGACTATTTAATAAAAAAGCAGAATGAAAGAAAAGGAAGGAAGAGTGGGAAAGATGAAGTAGGAAGGGTTGAAGAAATCAGAGAGAAATGGAGTCGGAGAAGGTTGATTGACTTGATAAAGACCAGACGAGACTGTTACAATAATCCAAGCTGATCTGCATAACATTTAACTTATACATTATGCAAAACCAAATTCAAACACAGGATCATGTTAATCACACCCATCTCATATTCTATGCAGAAATAATGTTAATATCATGGTCAAATGATCATGCAAGGGTCAAGAAATTCAGAGCTTATATTCTTACAACTATCCTTCAGCACCATTGTGTTCTTCCATTACACAGTCACACACATGCAATAATATTATATGCTCTGTGACCCTGATCCCACGCCTCCTTTTTAGTCGAATGCTTAAATCCCAATTGACTTAGGTAGGATTTGATTTAATCAGAATTTAAATGTTTCCTTGACATTATTCAAGAATTTGAGTTCTCTGGTGATTAGGAATAGACTTATGCACATGCCTAAATGCTTTTCTGAATTGGGGTTATATGTCCATCTATAAAATATCTGAGCTGAAGAAGCAGATTTTTACTTTAACTCTCAGGCGTGTTTCTATCACCTATAGCTACAATGGAATTAACTCATCTCAGCTTCTTCCCCAAAAAGTGAGAGGAGGGCTATGTCTACACTGCAGGGAAAAGTCGGAAAAAGATATGCAAATTTCAAACTGCAATTTGCATATCTTTTTCCGCTTTTCTTCTGAAAGAGGCTTTTCTGACATTTGGCTTGTCTACAGGGGGCCAAATGTCAGAAAAAAAAACCCCTCTTTTAAAACCTCCCTTCTTCCTTGGAGAACAAGGTTTATAGGCATGCTGAAAAAACATGTCTGCTTTTCTGAAAATTCTGCAGCATAGACATAGCCAAAGAAACAAAGTTGTTCTCTCTAGGGTACCTGCCTCTTCTTATGGGCAGAATCCATATACTGATATTCTTGACTTTTGTGAAATGAGAATTTAGTAATAGTTGTAAAGAAAATGTATGCAAAATAACTGTAAAAGATAGTTGTGGGGTGGGCAAGGTAGAAGAGCTAACAGGAACAAGCCATCCCAATTTGAAGAAGGGATAGCAAATATGGCAGGTGATGTACGTGGCTTAACAGAGAAATTTTCAGTGAGCTGAAACTCAGAAATGAAGCTTACAAGAAGAGGAAACTTTGACAGATGGATAGGGAGGAATATAAAAAAATTGCTCAAGCATTTAGGTGTGTAAACAGGATGGCCAAAGCACAACTGGAGTTGCAGCTAGCAAGGAACATGAGAAGAATAAGGTTTCTATAGGTATGTTGGCAACAAGAAGGCCATGGAAAGTGCGGGACCC